CTCCTACATATAGGTGGGAGAGTCTATTAACTATAAAATAGGTGTGTTCCACTATAACACATTACATAAGGAAAGTATCTATTTTTTTTTAAATACAGAACAGATTATATATTCTTGTGTCTAATTTACAGTCTGTAAAATGGTTTGAAACTTTCAATGTAGCATTACTCTGTACTCTTAGGTAAATGTTTACATATTTCTACAAATAATTTGAAATGTCCAGAAAATGAAGGCAAATCAATTCCTGTCAGATGTGTATATTGCCAGGTTATCTCTGGATAAAACAAATATCTACTTGCCAAAAAGAATTACACAAGCTAACATGTAAGTAAAGCTGTTCGTGTGAACAACTTTGTACTAGTTGAACTTTGTTCTTTTCATTCCCAATTTGTAATACAGGCAGTTCTGAAATTTACCTCAAGTGATTAGTGTTGATTGATTCCTTCACTCATTTTTTTATGGCCTATCAACCCTTTGCAGGTTATTTAAAGCCAGAAAATATTTTTTTAGAGTGTAAGATTTTTTTTGTTTGTTTACTGATACAAGTCTTACTAATTAACCCATAATTGTGGGGAGAAGTGGATTCATACTTTTCTGAAGGCTATTTGCGTGTAAGTGAATATAACAAACTCAATTGGTATTTGGTTCTCTGACTAATAATTTTTGAGTCATTATCCATTACAATAGTTACAAAATTCATGAAATGTACTTAATCATTATTTATATATGTTGTTATGCATGAGAATGGGAGTGAACATGTGAGAACGAAAAGAAACAAACATTTTAATAAATGTTATTTTCCTCATGAAATTAGTTGTGCCATTCTGAATGTTGTTTCACTTGTTCAATGTCTTTTAGCAATGTACAGTAGTCTCCCTTTATCTTCAAGAGGTGGATGTCAGAGATTGTGGATAAGCATTGAATGCTATAAACACTAGGGTTAGTGCCAGATTTATATATGGGCTAGTAAGGCGCTGCAACCCAGGAGCCCCCCCCCCCAATCTTTGGCTCCTGATAAAACAAAAACTATAAAGGCATAAGAATAGAGCAGATTTGTTTTTGTTTTTATTTAATGGGGCTCCTTTGAACTAATTTGAAACAATTTAGAGTCTTTGGAGCAGGTCTTTTAAATTTGATAGGGCTTCTTGAAAGGGCGCCAATTAGATTTTGATGTAACTTTTTAGTTGAAGTGCTTCATGTTTTACACCCAAAAAGTCTCTTCTAAAAAAAATATATATTTCTTTTTATGGACATGGGTGGAGAGAACTTTCATAACAAAGGGGCCCCCCAAATTCTGTTACCTCAGGGACATCATAAAACCCAAACCCAGCCCTGACTACACTTTTTCCCTATACAGGCATACATACCTAAGATCAAGTTTAATTGATAAATTATGAAAAGATTAACAACAGTAACTAAATAATACTAATACACAGTAATAAAAAACCTTCTCATTTTACTTACTGACCTTAGTATTTGTTTTTTCCTTTAATTCAAGAACTTTCACCTTTTCATTTAAAAGAAACACTTTACAGTTTCTCTTTGGCATATTTGAATTTCCAGCATCACTATACTTGCACATGAATTGTTTGTTTTGGGAGTTGATTAGCAGTGGAACTGATATTAAAGAATGCAAAACTGTTGATAAAGAGAGGTTAATGTAAGTTCAACAAATCCTAAAAAGTTTGCCATTAAATTATTTAAAAAGAAAAAAAAAACCTGTTTGTTATGGATAAAAAAAAAAAGCAATGGAGGAAAAATGACAGAAAGACTTTAATCATTTCAGCTACACTCGCTCTAATATCCATTGTCTTCATTACATATATTCTGATTTAACATGTTGACTGCTAGATGTCAATTAAAAAATCTGACTTCAAATGTCAATTCGTTTGGATATTGGACATTTCTGTTGCTTTTCAAATGCTTTGTTTTTGTGTTATATTTTCAATAAATTTTTCCCCATAAAAAGTTTGTTTTTTGTTGCCAGTAAGATTTTTCATTCTTGCCTTCAACACCAGGTACAAGCTAATGGCATTACAAAACAACAAAAAAATATCATAGTTGTCGCCTTGATGGCAAGGCCACAAAAACAAGATAACTTGTAACTGGTGTCATAATAAAAACTGTCAACCATGAGTTATCTTGTGGTTGGCAGTCAATGTGCTAACAGAATACTAGTTGAACTGTTTGGTACTGTCAAACTATTCAGACTTTTTTTTTTTTTTTTTTTTATTACAGTTCATTATTTTTTGTTGTCATACTTGTTCGCATCATATAAGGCAACATCTTGCTTTTTAAACACCAATGAGTAAGTCTTGAGGAATCTGATACTAGATTAAAAAAAAAAACAAACTGTCACACTTGTCCTCTCTGCTGAATTATGTGTTGTACAAGCAGGAAATACAGTGTCTTTAGTTCACAATAAAAGTACTTAATTCATTTGTTTTTTTTGTTTTTTTTAAGTAATTATAATTATTAAATACAACTTATTTGAAAATTAAGAAAAATTGCTGTGATTGAAATATATTTTTTTTTCAGGATAAGTCTTTTTCAACCACATTGGAGAACATAGCTCTCTTCAATTTCAATTTTTTTTTTCTGTCTAAAATTGCTCCTGGGAAATTTAGTGGATTGTTTTCCTATTGCCTTCTCTATGATTCAGGGATGAATTTCTCTTGGACGTCATACTACTAAAGCTAGAGTGACCAGTTTACCCTTCTATTTTACCAAGAGTTGGTTTATGTCTTCCTGAAGGGTATCAACCATGCCACACAATAAAAGGTGGCTGCCAATAAATTTAAATATTGTGGACTGATTTTCTTGTCTGACAATTTTCATAAACACTTTTGAAATTTAGATATGGAATTAAAAGAAAAGGGAAATGAACTTATTGATGTGAAAAGTTTAAAAAAAAGTTTACCATGAAGTATGTTAAAAATCAATTAACTTGTAATTCAAGAATCCATTTCATGGTTAGAGTTCCAGTTTTTAGTCATCATGCTGAGATTAGTAAAGTATATTTTACATTCCTTAGTTCTGTTCTTTTGAGTAGAGCATGGCACTGTGTTCTTGTTTTCAGGTAGAACCTTCAAAGTAACAACTGTTCTATCTGAAGGTAAAGCTTTTGAAGATTTATCAAGAAGCCATAACCCATTGTCAGTCTATAAAATCAAGTTTAAAACTTCTACCACCTGATTGGACAACAATATTATAAATTACTCGATGATTGTGAATTCAATTCCTGGATTGGGTACTGGTATCAAGAGACTGACTAAAGTCGAAAACCTGTTTATTTCTTTCAAGAGTAGGATGTTCAAAAAATTTGTTTGACCACAGTATCTAAAATATCAGGCACATTTCTCAAGCTGATCTACCAGAGAACTTCAAACGGTGTATCTTTTGTGCCACTGTAGAGTAGGATTTAATGTATGGTGCCACTGCTTTGACATTAACTAAAACCCTAGAGTCTAAGCTTGATGGAATCTATATTCAGATGCTGAGAGCTATACTTGGAGAGAACCTCCAACTAAATCACAGCTCTATAGACACATCCCTGATATTTCTACAATGTTATGCGAACAGAGAATGTGCTTTGCAAGACACTGATGGCAAGCAAAACAAGAACTTGTGAGTGATTTACTTCTCTGAACACCTAACCATCGTACAAGCTGGGCTGGTTGCCCAGCAATCACCTACATTGACAAACTATGTTAGGACACATCCTTAATGACCTTGATGCAGGACTGTGATGATTGTCATGATAGACTCATAAATGTTTGAGTTAGCTTGACTGAATAATAAATAATTTCAAAGATTTTAACACAATAGATAGAACAAGTCAAAAATTTAAAATAGAAGAATTAATTGCTATGAGAGATTCCTTACTAAACACATCATATATCTTGACATATGCATCAGCTACAACAAATTAAGAGAAAAAGAAATTGAACATAGAATAATATGCTGTGCTGGAGGTAGTTTTGCTCAACATCACAAATTGCTACAAAACTGAAACATCAACCTGAAAAGTCAAGTCATATTCTTAAATAGCCTTGTCAGATCAAGGATGCCATGCATAGTGCCAAACCCGTTTGGAAATATCTAAACTGTCAGTTGTATACAACCGCTTCCACAATGGTGAAAAAAAAAAAGGCTTTGAGCAAGTGAAGCCTGAGTGTCTTGATAAAAAACATCCTTCTTTGAAACTTGTGGACTGGAGCTATAGAATCAAAAAGAACTGTACAAAATAACAGAAGCCACATCATTTGAGGACTACCAACAGTGGCAACAATTAAGATGGATAGCACATGCAACTTGAAGTGATAATGACGGCATAATCAAGATGTTGACATTCCACACTACTTCAAACAAAAGGTTAGGAAGGAAGCCCCATCAATACTGGAAAGAGTGTTAACAGCTACTGGACTTGAGAAACCTGTTTTCCTAAAAAAAATTATTTTATAAATTTCAACCAAAAACAGTAGTGGCTGCTTGGTCAACGAATGCCAAATGTTTTCTTACAGAAAACCAGCTAATATTACCATTACATGGATGATGGAGGGAAAAAATTGTAGATTAAATAAAGTGTTTAGTTTAGATTTCACAGAAGGTGAATACAAAAACACCAGTTGGAATAGATTAATATGGATACACACACAGATCTTAAATCTCTTTTTCTTCCCCTTATTTTCTCATTATCTTAACACTTAGCACGACCAGCAGATGTTCTAATTAGTTAAAATAGGATTTTTAAAACCTCTTTAATTAACTTTTAATTAAAGACAAAAAGGACTAAATGAAAGATTTTTTTTTTATTTCTTATTAAATGCCATATTTTTAGTGGATGCATGTGTTTGAGTAGACCTCTTATTTTTCTTTTTTTTTATTTTTTTTAAAACAGTGTGAATTACATCTACTGGCCTGTGCATTTGAGAATCTTAAAGAAAAATTGGATTCATAAGTATATGTTTAATTTTTTCTTTTTCTTTTTTTCTTTTCAGCCGAAGCAAATTCTGTGAAAGGTGTTGTCGTAAAGGGACTCCGTAAACATCGAGGACCGCGATATGGCATTGTCCATTACAAGTATTCTCATTTTTATGTCCGGCTGAGAGAAGGGTCTCCTCCCAAACATTATTATCCCCCACAAATGACTGGAAACGAGAAGTTACACGAATACTTAGAAAATCAAAGAAGCCGACGGATTGTTTTCTCTCTTTGAACAAATGTTACTTCCACCTCTAAGTCTTAGGAAAATAAATAATTGTTTCTTATGTGTATTGTTTGAATTAACTGAACTAAGATTTCTCATGCTTTGATTACAAGGTTTTCTTTCAGCTCCTGATACCTAGGTTTGAATCTCACCAGGGTCATTTTGTAAGGGAGGATGCTTCCTGATATTATTAAGCCATGGCAGGTATGCCCAGTATACAGCACCATTGCAAAGTGCCTTCATAGAAAATCACTGGTTGACTAAAGCCTTTTTAGGGAAAATGGGTAGACTGAATTGTTCAGAAGCCATTGATAATTGTGCTAAAACATAAGTCTTAAGTCATTGTGACTGAGGGTTTTTTAAAAATGGCTTCAACAAAATGGTTAAATCAAATCAGCACTTTGTCGAATGGTTCATTTCATCAAAATATCAGAAGTTGAAATTCATATCTATGTCGACAGCACAACTATTTACTCCTGTCTCAATAGTAAGTCTGATTAGTTTGATAAGGTCAAATTGGTAGCTGATTTAAAAAATGACCTACAGTCTGTTGTTAACTAGGACAAGGAATAGCTTGTGAATTTTAATGCCGCTAAAACGAAACTTCACTCAATCACCTGAATGACTCCTTCCTGCCTCCTATCAGCATGGTTGATGCTAACCTCCAAGAGAGTGGCTGATTGCACCTTCTCTGGCTGATATGAAGCCGAAAGATTATATTGAATCCATTGCTAGGTCTGCTGCTAAGAAAGTTGGGTCACTGTATCAAGCAAGACAATTTTTCTCTCCAGAATCTATCTTGCATATTTATAAGTCTACCATCCATTCAGGCTTTGAATATTGCTATCACATCTGGTTCAGTGCTCTAGCTGTATATTTAAAGATTTTTGATAAAGAAATCAGTAATATTATTAGTCCTGACTTGGCATCTCGTCTTCACTCACTTTCTCACTGCCATAATGTAGTTCCCATGTGCTTTTTCTATAAATACTTTCATGATAATTATTCGGACAAATTCTTTGCTACAGTACCTAGACTATATGAATTTAAGTGCAATACTAGCTTGGCATCAAGGTCTCATCAATTCACAGTTTAATTGGTTAGATGTAACTAAGTTCTATGCTAACAGTTTCTTTTCTCACACTTCTCAATTGTGGAAGTCTTTTCCATCTTTAGACTTTCTTCAAAAATTTAAATGCAATGTCAGTTGTCAACTACTGTCTTCTTGATTACTCTTCTTCTATTGTTTTTACTCCTTAACACTGTTTCTCCTTTTTCTTATTCTTTCACTCAAACACCTCTTGGGTGTTTTAATCATGTGAAATGATTTAAAAAAAAACAAAAACAAAAAAAAAAAACTTTATATTTGAATTGTGTTTTTTAAATTATGCATCTTTGTTTATTTACGAGAATGAATAATTTTTCTCCATAAATTTATTACTTCATTCACGTGATAATGTTGCTTAATATTTTAGTTATATTCTAGGAATATTTAAAAATGACAAAAGATACATCCATTTAAATATTTTTCCTATCCAAAATACCTCTGTAAATAAATTAATTACTCTTTTTATTTGTCTATTTCAATATTTGTTTCATTTTTGTTGTTTGATCTAAAAAACAATCATTTTTGTTGCTTTAACTGAATTCAACATTAATTAATTCTCTTAAAAAAGCAAACTTACTTGTTGTCAGTCATTCATTATTGTAAATAAGCTACAATAAATTAATGATAAAATTTTAAGCAAACGTCTGGAAACTATTGGCATATATCTAGATAAAGCGCAATGTCTGCTGTTTCTTGTGAACAATTTGCAGAAAATGCATCTTCCACTTTGCTTCTCTTAACTTTTACTCAATGCTTTATAAATTTATTGTAGTTAAACAAACAAACAAAAATGACAAAGCCCCAAGAAAAACCTATTAATTCAACTATAATTTTAGTAAAATTTGCAGAATTAATTTTATCACCAATAAATAGTGTTTATTATTTTTGCTTCAATTCTCAAGAACAAAGAAAATCTGTAAATGCACTTTCATATTATTAGGTTTTATTAAAATTTGTATTTTTGTTTGTATGAAGGTACAAAAAAAAGAAAAATAGCACACTGTGGCAGTCCCTTATCATTGGCCCATGAATTGGTGAATCATTAATTAAAGAAACAAAATGATCCTTATACTTAGAATAAGAAAGAGACAGTTGAAATTTCTAAGACATATAATAAGGGAAAGATGGTTTGGAGAATTTGACACTCACAGAACATTTTGAAGGGAAGATGGACAGTGAGAAAAAGTGAGTAATCCTAATGAGTTTGTGTAAATGGATGGCAGAACAATGATCAGGAGAGATCACAAAAAGACAAACCTAAGAGCTACCAAGGATAGGAAGTTGTGGAGAACCATGATTGTCCTGGTCCTGAATAACCATATCACATATAAGAAACAGTGTGAAGATTGGTTATATATGAAGCAAGGAATTTATCAACTTTGATCCTCATTGCAATTTCAGACCTTTTAACCCCTTTCCTGCCCATTATTTTGGTAAAAATGTTTATTTTGCTGACAAATTTTTTATTTGTTTTTAATAACTAACTGAGGCGCCTTGAAGTACTCGAGCGGTGGCTAACACCTTCTACCAGACGCGTAGGAATTGACAATTGAACTCATTTTAAGCTCAGAAGGGCATAAAAAGAATCAACATTGACGTATAATCACGTCTGTAGATGGTTTTTGAACATTGTTTTCTACATGCTTATTTGTCCATATCTGAAAAAGACACATTTGGTAAAAACGTATATACATGTCTACACTGGGGAAGGGGTTAAAGACTGTGATGTTGCGTGTGTAACTTGGAGAATAAACGTGGGTTAAGAATTAAGAAGATAAAAAAAAAAGATCCCCAAACTAATAAACTCGTAAACACCCATACATTGTTAGGAATATGTTGTATTTCTGAAATATGATATATTTGATAGGGTCAGCTGGTAGTCACAGTCCTACAAGAAAAATGGTAAAGAAGCAGGATGTGGCATAGTTGTTTCATTGGTTCATGAATTAAATAATCAGCAACTAGAAGGTAAGGTTTCCTGCTAAAAAAAAAAATTAGGTTTTTGGCTTGGTATTGAGGAAATGGCAGTAGAAAAATTCACTGTATCCTCCCCATCACTGATGAATAGCAGGCAACATTTCCCTGCTGTAGACAAATTAGCTGAAATAGATCCCATTGCATTTTTGCATTTATTATTACAAGAAAACTTGGTAAAAAGGTGGCTTTTAGTAGAAATTGAGATGGTATTCTGTGGGGTATTGTCCTGAAGCCAACCAATGTGACTGACTGTGAAGCAATGACTGTAGTTTGCCAAACATCAGTTCAAGCCGTATAGGATATCCTGACAATATAACACTGGCCTATTTTCAAGAAGTTTCATATATTTTTAGTATCTGTCTAAATGAGGTATTATGTACACTATTTACATTATTCGGACTATTGTCTTCATCTTTGTTGCCATAGTATTATTTTTTTACTTTTATCATTTAACCACAAGCAAGGCAATAAAGCCACTTATGGTCATATGTTGAAACACAGGATTTCATGTGATCACTGAAGTTAAGCAACGTTGATGGTACCTACATGGGTGACTGCTCAAGAATACTGGGTTCTGTAAGCTTTGATGTGCAGGTAGTGTAATGGACAACAGCTTGAAATGGGAAATTGGAGAGCTGATTCCGAATTCCAGTTGGGATTCATCATATTCACTTACATGCAAATACACTTGGGAAAGGTATGAATTCACCTATTTTCCCCAGCTATGGATTAAATACTAGGACTTGTATCTAAAAATCATTATTATCTCAAAGACATTCTTACAAACCCAAAATATGTTTCAATTTTAAATAACCTTAAAAAGGTTGATAAACTGTAAAAACCAAATCAATCAATGCTTATAAGTAACATTTGGCATTTATTGACTAAGCAGCAAGTACTTCATGAGATGCATTTCTTCACTTCAAATCTCTGGAATCCTATAAAAGCCATTTAGACCATTTACACTATTTACTGTTGTCCTCATCTTCATTGCCATATTCACAATGTTTTAGCCATTGTATGCTTTGGCCTTCTTCAGGTGATATATATTGGAATTTTGAATTGAACCCTTTATTTTTATCCACTAGCCCATGTGTTGGAAAAAAATGATGGTTGAAGTAATCCAGTGACTTGACCCAAAGAGTTGTGAGTTCAATACCTAGCCACAGCAGAGGTGGGGGAGAAAAAAAAAAGGAAAAAAAGAAAAAAGGAGAGTTGAGTTACTAAAAAAGGGAAATAACTGAAACTGAGATATTCAGAAAAGGAATGGCATGTGGAACTAGAACAATCCAACCTGGTGAATGAAATAAAGTGTTTGGCTTGAAATTCCAATGTATATCACCTGAAGAAGGCCAGAGTGTATAACAGTCGAAATATCATGAATTTGACAATAAAGGTGAAGACAACAGTCCGAACAAAGTGTAAACAGCATTGCATGTAGTCCACTATACTAAGAGCAATCATTTGTGTTCACTAGATGATTGTTTGAATCTGCCAATAACTGCTTCTGTATCTGATTCATCTAACAGATCTTTTTCAATGGGTAGCAACAAGTAGGATTCCAAATTCTCCTCAAGCTGAGAATTTCATAAGCTTATCTTTATGATCTTTAGTTTTGAAAATGTCTTCTCACAAGTGACTGAGAGTGCAGATGACTTTATTAAGTTCTTATTACTAAAACAATTGTCTGTGTTTTTGTTTTGTTATTTTATATAGGGGCCCACTCCATCAGGGATGTACTTTCCATCATGCAAATTGGCAGCCTGGCTAGTTTGCCATTGGATAGTGAAACAGAAGGGCACATATGTGGTTGAATAAATCTATGAAGAAATATCGAGATATATTGTTACAACCCAATAAAATGGTGATCTAGTTGTGATAAAAGATGACAGAAATAAGATAAGAAAAGGACAAGTTTCTATAT